GCCATGCCTCGAGATGGGGACCGCCTTCCTAGGGCTCCCGGCTTCCCCTCTCGCCATGTCGCTCCAGCACCAACCCCAGATTCTGACCTCCTGGGGACTCCTGGCTTCAAGGGAGAGACATGCAACCACCTGGGAAAGGCAGGAGAAAGGAGAGGAAGCTCCTTGTGGAAATGAGGGTCAAAGGGGAAAAGGACATGCACAACAAGACAAGAGGGGACAAGGGGACAGGGAGGATGTCACTTCCAGAGGCCATTTCCAAGCGGGCAGCACAGTATTGGCCACAAATACCTCCCAAACACCAAAGTATTGGCCACTGTAAACAAACTGAGCAAGAGGAATTCASACCTCATGCCTAGACACGCACACAAAGCGTGTGAGAGGATATCCTTATGTTTTTGCATGGTGTTCTCATTTTAGTCACAGGTCAGGCAAGGGGCTGACCCGTTATCCTCATGTTTGCAAATGTCAAGCTTAGAAAGTGGCCGTGTAGTGAGGCACCCTGGAAGATGTCCCCCAGGAGACTGTAGACTGAGTGATGTTCATTCCTCGTGCCGGGAACTGTCCTTCTCCTCCGTGCCTGCCTGACACAGAGCTCAGAGTTAACGCTGCTCTCTCAGGCACTGCATCAATGAAATATCCGTGGTACTCCCCAAAGACGAAGCAGGATGAACCCTGCAATCAAGAAATGGCAGTGTGGTCTTCCCCAGTCGCAGGGGAGGAGAGATCACTTACAAACGCTAGACCCAAAAGCCGTAGGTCTGCGGGGGGAGGCTCAGGATACGGGAAACCTTCCACAGAGGCTGCTGTATAGGAAAGGGTAATGCTGAGAACACCCTGAAGGGCTTTCAGGCCCTCTTGGGCACTTAACCCCTGCCATGGCCAGATCTGAAGGCYCCAAATGCATCCAGGGGCCCTGCGTCCAGCCCAAAAAGCAAGAGAGAGCAGGCCTGGGTGGAGGCAGCCTGGTTTTGCAAGGCAGCAGTGGGAGAAACACAGCTGGGGCTCCCTGCGGGGCTGGGGGCCCTGCACACAGACCACCCCCGCACCTCCCTAATGCCAGGGAGTTTTGGTTTACCCTCTTCTGCCTTTCTTCTTTCGGATGAATTTAGGAGTAGATTGTGGGACAGCCCATCAGTAACACATCCCTCATGCTCTTTGCTCAGAGGCCAAGCCAGTTGCGTTTTACACTTCCCACATATCGGAATTTGGTCTTGGCCCACACAAAGAGGAGCCCGATGCTGGCGTCTCCAGCATTAGGACCCAGTACAGCCTTGGTGAGAGATCAGACAGCAGCGATATTCTGGGTGTGAAATTAAGAGTAACGTGCCCAGACATTTGCTGGCATCGCTAGTTACCAGGCAAACCTCCATGCTCACAGCTCAAAGCCCACAAAGCTTTAACTCAGCACACAGAACAAGCTCAGAAGATTTATTTAGCTGTTATATCAGTTTCCCTCGCCCAGCTCTGGAGCTCTCTAACCAGCAGGTATTAAGTTGCAAACCCCACAACAGCTCCAGCTCACAGCCCAGCTGCTCCCTCCTCAGCTTGCACAGACAACAGCACATGCAGGAGCACAGCCAGGACCACGCTCCTAAAATAAATAAATAATAACTAAAATAAACCCTCCAAGGTGTCCTTACTCAGCTGACATAAATCAGGCAACAATTTCTGACAAGCTAGATCTAACACCAGCAGCTGAGCATCAGCTCTCTCTCTTGCTGCTGTGCCTAGATCAGTCCTAGGGGCTACATAGGGATATCTGAGCCCTCCTCCTTGTGTCCGTTTTGCCCGGAGCGAGTTTCATTTCCCTGCTACACTTCTCTGTCAAGCTGTGACTTGAAATTCCCCAGGCTGCASGGGTCATCTGGTCCAGACTCACCCTTGGCACTCTGCTCTTGGCCTGCCGTGCTCATGCAGACCATCTTGTCCTCCTGGATGCATCTGGAGGTACCACTGCATCCCCACGGACAGTTTTTTGGCCCGTTTGCTTAGTCCGGCTCTGAGTGTCAAGGACAGGGCAGTGCTTGGCACAGAGACCTTCCTGGCTGCAGGAGATGCTCAGGGCAGGCACTCTGGGTTCTCCTGTATCTCCTGATCTCCTCCAGTGCAGGCAGGGAAGACGCTGGGGAGACAGCTTGGTGCAGCCTTGGGGTGCCCCAAGCTGCCCAGCCCGCGGCTCACACATGTTTGCAGCCTGTCACTTCTAAACCAGCCCTTTGAGCCGGTACTGCGGGACAGCTTACTTCTGCCCAACCTAAATACCAAGGGCTTTTCCCAAGCATCCAGTTAGGGGAGAAATCAGGCACAGGATGTTGTTCCAAAGATGTCAAATCAGCTGGAAAACAAAAGCAATTTTGCTGTTACCTGCCCAGCTCCTAAACTCGCAAAAGTTAAGCTGAAAGATAAGCAAGTTTTAAATGCTCGTCAGAATGCTATGAAGATTGACTGTAACCTGTGTTTTTCTCATACCATTCAAATGCTTGATATCATGCTCTTTGCAATATACTGCTAATATTTTCATGGCAGCGTTATTTGTAGGAATAAAATGGCTTAAATACTTAATAGATTTAGTGTCCTTTCACTTTCCCAAAATCGATTGATGTGTTTGTAGTCACTTCATAGGAGAAAGCTAGTCTGTGATGCAGGTAAGGGACTAATCCTTCCTGTGCAAGAGATTGTTAGCAGAATTTTGGCTGCTTTTAAAATATTACCTGCATGCTTTGCCATGCAAGACTTCTACTCGCTGAATTCTCTGAAGATCAGCCAGCAGAGGGAAGCACCACATTCCCAAATCCCTTACAAGCCCGAAACTACTGAAAAACACTGCCATTCTCTCACAGAATTATGTTTTATACCAGAGCCTGTTAAAATACTGCAGTACGAGGAAGGAACAATAGCTATGCAATGCTTTTCTGTTTTCGTCTTAAACTTGTAAGTATAATTAAGGCACATCTTTCTTTTAGAACAGTAAAGCAAGAACTTGTTCAGAAGTTTTTTGGAGGTAAACTTTAGTTCACTATGTTGAGACGCGAATTCTGAAAAGGTGATGTGTGGTTTAAAGCAGTTCCTGGGTTTAGACACTGCTGAGACTGCTGCAATACTACATTGCTAGAATTTGTCAAAATCTTTGCTGCCCCCAGCACTTTAGTTTGTTACTGTCTTCCTCATGAAGCCAGATCTGTTAAGGAAATTCTCCATAGGACTGTCTCAGCAGTACAGCCCCTCTGTGTGTCAACTCCCAATTCACTAACTTAATGCATGATAAAGTTAGAAAATTCTAAGCCATCTGTGATTTCATGCATCATCATAACTTTAACATCAACCTGATTTTTTTTTTTTTTACAAACAGTTGCTACAGAAAAAAAAATCTAGGAGAAATTACCACATACTAAGTTCCAGGTCATTTCAACTCCACTTAATAGATTGGCCAGAGGTTTACACAAACCATGTGCTSTTTTTCTGTAAAGGGAAGCATGGACACATAACAGGCAGGAGCCATCAGCTTCCTCTTTCTATAATGTTTATGTAGATAGAGACAAAATGTGTAAACTGCCTCAAAATTCTCCAGGATGTAGTGTACTCACCAGTCTGTTTGCAGCCATCTCACAACTGATTAGAAAGGAAGAGCAGGCGGGGCCACAGAAAATTAAACTCACTGGCACAGCTGTAAAGCTGCTGCCTAGGCTGTAATCCTTACCTGGCTATAGAAAGTCCTAACTAGCTGTGCTTTAAATCAGCATTTTCGATTCTGTGCATGACTAAYGTGAAGTGTAACTTTCTTATTCAATGACTAATCTAGGAGGTTTTAAAAAACTTATAAATCACTAAAATATGTTTTGTTAAATAAGAGTGTTAGCTTCTTGCACACTGCACTTGTCTGTACATTAAGTCACAAGGACTGGGTCTAGCAGGTCAGGAATCTGTTGCAGATTAAGTTTGGTAAAAAGCTATTTTKGGGGACTATGTTATCAGCATGCAAATTCTGTTTGCATTTAGGCTTGCAAACTAGACCATACTCGTTAGTCAGAATATTATTAGCAAGAGAGGTTTTGCTCATATAGAAWATCTATGCAGAGCCATTAAATGTTCTTTGTTGCTTTACTTAGTAGTTAATATTTCTAATCCCCTTTCATATTTTCAAGTTATTTATAGTGACTTTTTAAAGTGTATTTTACTACATTCTCATGCATTGCAAACAGTCTTAGCCTAGCTTCCAAAGAGTTTAATTCCTAAATGTAAAAATAGCTGATCTAAAACTGTAACAGGGACAAGAGGCAAAGGAGAGCAAACACTTTAGCAAAAAACTTCGGTGACCAGTGACGTCAGCTGTTGAAAACCACAGTTTTAACCAGAGATTTACGCCTCTGACAAATGAAAATTCTATCACTAAACTTACAAACTGTCACAAACCTAAAACCCTTTTCTTTACACATATTGCTGGGGTGCAGTGCAGAACATAACTGCCTTACATTGTTACTGTATGCCAATGAATTGTACTTGGGCCTAAACTTTAACTTTAGGCAGGAAAGTGCAACGAAAACATGAGATTTAGAGCCTTGAAGACCCTGAAGGGTACATTTTAAAAGGTAGGAAGAGCCTTATGTTCTGAATGATGTTTTTTAGTGGAGAGTAAGTATTAGTGCAGGAAACAGCACATGCCTAGGAAGCAGCATTTTTAAGTAGGTCTCCCAAGTACAAATATATGTATGCATTTGTTTAAAAAATAACAGCTGAGGGACCTGTAATTCCAGTGCTTCTACAAGCTTTCCTGTATATAGTGGGCACATCTGTTATAGCTGTACTAAAATCACTAAAATCAACTCCAACACAAGCAGCAAGCCCAACTTTAGACACAAGGGACAAGTCATTTGTGCATGCCATTAAGAACGTTTCCCAGAGGAACAGGAAAGTATTAGTCTTGCRGATCCTAGATGACAAGGAGACAACAAATGGTTAAAAATCAAAGCATACYTCAGTAAGAAAAAATATACATTTGCAAAGAGGTTTGTAAGAGAGTTTTAATAACGAAAGATGCAGCATTGGTTACAGACGACGGCCACGGCGACCACCCTTTCTGCGYGTGCTGTCAGAGGGGATGGGGGTGACGTCCTCTGTGGAGACAAAACCACTGTTACCTTCCGGAAGGAAGGGAAGAAACCGAGTGGGCAAAGCCACCCAACCAAGCAGTATCTCCAGATACCCCCCGGCTGCACCTCAGAAGCCAGCTACCCAGGCAGCATCAACAAACTATGGCAGTCAGTATTTGTGAGCTCACCAAATGCTGGGTATCCAAAAATCCCCATGTCCCCACCCATTTGAACCAAGTACCTAAAATTCTAACACTCTGTACAAGGCCTGGGACTCTCTCTCGGTGTGAGCAATTCCTCTTCTTGAGTAGCAGCCTTAAAGGAAGGCTAACACAATAGTTCCAGATAATGTAACAGCTCTGACATGACAGTGTTCCCTTTAGCTCAGTAATCCCTCCAACTGATTTCTGAAGTATCAAGACTCTGCCCTGACATACAGTGGCACAGGCTTCCACAAGTACCCTCCTCCTCCACCACCACTCACCAATGCGGCCGATCTTCATCCCAGAACGAGCCAGAGCTCTCAGGGCTGACTGGGCACCAGGTCCAGGGGTCTTGGTCCTGGAAAAGAGCATCAAATCAGTAACTCCTTAAATGACTCTAAACTGAGCACACAGATGACAAAAATCTAAGAGTCTGAAGACAGACACAAATACTCCTCCCCTAACTTAACATCCCATTTTCAAAGAGATCAGAACTCTCCTTCCTGCTATGCCCAGATTCACACCACGCACAATCATCCACAAGACACATCCTACGTTCACTCCAGACTGACATGCCTCCGAGTTTGACAGCACCTAYGTTTTTACTACTATAGTTAAACGCAGACCTGTGAACGTATTCCAATTCCAATCACGTTAGTCATGACCATGTCAGCCAATTCCCACCAACTTAAGCAGCACAAAGAGGAAAGGGCCAGGACTTTCTGTGGAACTGGTATGGACGGAGGAGCTGACCCTCACACACACAAGAAACTCACCCTGGTCACTGACCTCAGGTTTGCCCTTTGCCAAGGGCAGCAGGCAAACACGCTGCAGACAGGGCTGAACTCCCAGCACGCCAGCAGGGCAAGTCACACTTTGGGAGTGCACTAGTGCACGCTGAAGCACCAACAGACACAAGTACTGCAGACACAGGGGCCAGTCCCTCCAGCTTACCTGTTTCCACCAGTAGCACGCAGCTTAATGTGCAGAGCAGTGATGCCCAGTTCCTTGCACCGCTGGGCAACGTCCTGGGCTGCCAGCATAGCAGCGTAAGGAGAAGACTCATCTCTGTCAGCCTTCACCTTCATGCCACCRGTCACACGGCAGATGGTTTCCCTAAGACAGGGGAAGAACAAAGTCAAGGAAAAGTCTCTCCTCCTCCACCCTAACAGCCTCCTGGGGCATTATTTCCACTTTCAAAAGTGAAGCAACCAAGTGCCACACAGAGGCAACCAGTGCTCAGTACTCACTTGCCAGAGAGATCAGTCACGTGGACAAAAGTGTCATTGAAGGAAGCAAAGATATGGCAGACCCCGAACACATTCTCGCCTTCGGCAACCTGAGGGCCCAAGCTAATGACCTGTTCTTCCTTTTTCTCCTTGCCTTTACGAGGTGCCATTTCTGAATGAAAATAAGTTGATTTTGTCAGCATCAAAGTAAGGTTTTACACATTTCCTCAATTGCAACACTTTATCAAAAAACCMAGATGAGCTCCCAACAGAAAAAATCCATTCATGCAGCAAATCTCTGGTGCAAGCAAATCTCTCCAAAAACCCCACACATCCCCAGCTCTGCTGTCCACGGGCAGGGCAGCCCCTCCATCTGCAGTTGTTCAGTGAAGCCTCAAACCTCTCCTCACACAGCAGAGGTTTCTGAACAACCTTCATCTCAGCAGGTATCTCCGGGCACCACACCAGGGAATCACAGCAGTGGGGTATTTCTGCATGACTATATAGAAGCAGAGAAGATATCTAACCTGACAGTTCCTACAGACCTGGTGTTTTCACAAAGCTCTGACTTCCCAYGGCTTCCAGGCAGTAGCTGGGGTTCCCACACTTCTACCCACACCCCGGGAGCAGCTCGGGCACATCCTCTGCCTAACCCTGGACACAGGCAGCCGCAGCACCCAGGAGCGCTCTCAGGGGCCGGAGAACCCAACCTCCCTCCCGCAACACCAAGAGGTGGCTCCGTGCTGCCCAGCAAGGCCTGCCGGATTTGAGCCCAAGCAAAACAACATCATTAAAGCAGTCATCCTGAACCAAGGCCTGCTTTTATACGCAGAACTAGCTTGAAGATCCCCGCGTAGCGTTGCAAAAACGGCACCCAGCTCCAGTCCCTAGAGCAGAGCCCAGGAGGAGCCCGGCAACGCAGCGGCCTCTGCCCAATGCGG